TGTGTGTGTGTGTGTGTGTGTGTGTGTGTGTGTGGTACTTTGTGGTTGATATTTTCGAAGAAAAGTGTGAAAACTTAATGCTAATTCTTACATAAGGAGTCGTACTTGATATACTAGTAGCATATTTCAGAGAATAGGTTGCCATTATTTCTCCATTTGGACGCTTTATCTGTCAAAAACATGAAAATTTGTAATGGCCACTGTAAATGACCTAATTTATGAGAGGAAAGATTTTGTTCTTTGACCAATGAACAAGTAACATAAACTAACACTTTCGCGGCAATACTGCGCTGAATAATAATACTGTCAAAATATCACATGGTCACCCTGCAGCTGTGCGGGAAATTATTCATCATATCGCAGCAGTAATCACGAATCCGTCATTGTCAAAAATGAAAGAAAATTGGTTCGTCGACAAACTGAGAAGGTGAAAACGTGGGTTCATTTGGATAATTGACATGTTATGAGTGGCCCATTTGTCATGTCGTTATTTCAAACGCGGGGCTAACGGAATACCCCGCTGCCATTTAGTCCTGCAGTCGAATCCGAAATTACTTCAAGAAATGTCGCTATGCTCATAGGAGAACACCAAATAGAAATGAGAAACTTATTTTGAGACTTGATGTTGCTCAAAAATAATGCATTGTGTATCAATTATGAAAACAATCAACTCTGCACTTCTCAATGCCTCGTCAGAAATAATTCAAAAGTAGAACTAAATTCACATGTCCCTCATTAATATGGGGTGAACATCATTACCTAACATATTTCTTTTTCATGTCTTATGCAATTGTAGTTATATACCAGTAGATGCCATACTTTGCACCCTGAACAATTGCTGTGCAGTTAAGTTATTATTATCAACGTCACAAGTTTTTGTTGTAGGATAAAGATACTCTATTCTTCCATGAGTATAACTATTGGTTTTCCTTCCACCAGCAGTACTCCCACTCCTAGTCCTGGGAGAGCCGGAGATATTTTCCCAATACCCCATGGAGTTTTTCGAGCCCACCAGAACATTCAAGACCAGATCTCCATATGCGGACAGCACTACTAACGAATGGCTGGCCAACTGCCCTGTTCGATCTGACAAAGGTTGCTCGATCAGAATCCGGTTCAAAAAGTTTGACTTGCAAGGTGAGTCTTGAGTTTACAAACCTTAGCTTTGATAGATCTAGTCATATGAAGCGATTTCAACTGACATCAAAAGAGACCAAAAAGCAGGTGTAAATTGTGGCTCAAGCGTTTCTAGATACTCAAATGAAATCCTAGAAGTATGACTGTACAGCTTACAGAGGAAAATGTATAAAACTATCAACTATCTACATAAAACGCGGTATATGATTGAGCCTTGGTTTATTGAAATGTAAATCAAGGACACCAACATGGAGGTCAGCACCTTTCTGTTGATGTATAATAAGTAAAATCGCTCAGGAAATTTATCACTGATCGTAGAACTGCATAGTCTATTCTAGTTACTGATGCCTTACCAATTCCACTGATAACTCTTTATATTCTGACACTCTGACATAGAATGAAAGATCAGATTAATATCATATGACATTTGCAGTTTTAGAAGAAGGCAATAGACTTCTAAAATCCAGTGTTGTTGACAACCTTGTAGGTATAATGTATTTTTAAAGTATAACTATATAATGTAATCGCATTTTTAGCGTGAAAAGCAATAAAAAAGAACAACATATATTACACGGATCCAAATAATAGATAAACCTAGGAAAATGAAACTGGATACAAATCAAGTACATGCAAATGCATTGCTTCAGGTAAAATAAGAGATATAACCAGAAATTGTTAACTAACAATGAGAATGAATCCTAAACGATGAGAATGATTAATCTAATAAACGTTAAGGGACATTGGCACACGGCACACTTTTTGTCAGTTTCAGGCATGTAATTGGAATTGTTTACAAGATATAATGTGGCAAATTGAACCTATCATCTCAAATTCTTTTGAATTCGGAATGAAACAACAGTGGTATGCAGGTACAATAAAATTGATATTGTGTCGAAAAATATGAAACGTGAACTATTGATATGGGCGGTGATCGTTTGCACTTCTTGTTAGCTAGAGGAAACAATGGACCTCGAGCTGGTAATATACATGGAAAGTGGGGCACTTCTCAAGGGAAGGTTCATTCGTTACCGGAGGCTTAGATCATAATAAATGGTACTTTGTCAGACTGACTAAGCATACATTAGGTGAAGCGCAGTACCAATGAGTATCAAAGTCTTTACACCTACGGTTACCTTCATGTTTTCTTATTTCCTTTCCTTTCCTTCCTTTCTATCCATCCATCTACATATTGTAAATCTTACGTGTATGTTTGCAGTTTTCTGTTCTAATTAGGTGTCAAATCCTAGCCTGTCTTTTTCCAAGATACAAGGTTGTCACATAAATATTTGTTTCTAATATCGATGATGTTACTTATCATTTACTCACAGTGTACAGTAGATGGCAGATTCCCATAAGATTGCGATATCACTAGTTAGTCTTCATGATAGCTGGTGGGAAACGTGGTATCAAGCCATCTATGTAGACGTAAAATGTAGAATGACTTCCGGAAAGCATTCTAATCATTCTGTATGGCCAACAGGTCACGAGTAATTTAACTTTGCCGGCTGGGCTATGCTGTTCTTGTACTTATCATCCATGATTGACTGCAAAAGACGAAGCAGGAATGCATTGGGTCTACATTTGAGTGTAGTGTTTCAAGGTGTTGCCCTAATGTAGATATTGTATAGTACACACGAAGTAGAAGCTTAACCATAAACTTTTATTTCTAACTATGGTATGTGCGTTCTAGCTATGTGGATGTTACTCAGAATACTATTAGATTGCTTTAGAAAGAAAGAATACCAAATAAAACTAATATACCAGTTGCTCATCACCATATATAAACAAATGTTTATGAGTCTGAACTGGCGTAGATGTTGCTATGATTTGTGTTAACTTCACTCTTTGTTATTGTGCATTTTCCCTGTGGAAATTATCATGTCAAAAAAGGCAGGTGCCATAAACTTTTAATTCATTACAAACATTACTTTCATGGTATTCCTGTTGGAGATCTTAAGGAATGCCTGTTTAAAATTTGATGCTTACCGCCCTGAGATGTACATCGATCTAAAGCAAAAGAATCCCCCTGCCATGGCACAAGAAAATTTATGGTATTATTAATTTCACAGCTTGTAATTTCCTATGCTTTACAGTAACATCAATAAATGGTTGTAAATTTAGATGCGGCAGAAACCCTAAAACACTAAAAAATAAGTCGTGACTGGCAATAAATGTATATTCTTGAAGAAGCTTTTTCGAACTAAATCATCATTGTGCCGCATACTGAGGACTGTGTTGGGGGTGAAGGTTTCTCTCGTTATTTTTGCCAAGTAAATACAGATGAAGAAAAAGAAAAATTATGAGCAGCCTGGGCAATAAAGACTGAGCGCTGAGACTAATCTAATGAAAGACTTTCATATTAGAGTGGAACCCGTTGTCACCAATTGCAAGTACAATTGGGGTATGCTCACTACATATCTTCAACGTTATCGCCTAGAGTTAAATGAGCAAAGGTGTTACGCCGGAGGGCGATTGTACCGATGTCTATCAGATGAAGATATGCTGTTAGACTCAGGGCTGTTACTTAGCTGTTGGCTTGTTCAGTTAGACATAGTGATGCTACTTTACTGACTGGAAGATGCACACAATTCCAACCAATCCTACATTATTTCCATGTCATTAATAACTCGAAGACTTACACCAAATGATTTCAAGCATCATTTCTGTCAGGATGTTGTTCAAGTTATTCTGCCATTGACAAAAAATTCTTACACATGTGATTTAAGGAAAATTAGCAGAAAATTTAAGGAAAAAAAGCAGAAGTAACATTGCTGATGTCTCGGATAACAATTACACTTGACTTTGATTATTCCTATTGTTTCGGATAAAAATTACATATGTCATTTATTACTAGTATTATTTTTTCCCAATCATTGCAGGTAGCAAGGGCTGCAGGGCTGACTACCTAGAAGTTCACCGTGGTCCGAACGCCAGCTACCCTTCCCTGGGCAGGTTCTGTGGCGGCTGCATCCCTAACGACCTGTACGTCCTTGGCCGAAACGTCTTCGTCCGGTTTGTCTCGGACGGAGCCATTTCTGGATTAGGGGCGGAGTTTGAGATGTCTGTCCTCTTTCGTAAGTACTGTGGGGCTTTTTTTTAGGAGATCCCGATATCTGCGTTCAACTTGATGTTCAGGGGAACAAGAATTAACCAATAACGTTAATCATCGTCATCATGGACACTGCATTCATCAGTAGCTACGTGTACTAAGGCGGGCTGTCATTAGTGCCAACTATTATAACTTCGTGTCTAAACAGAAAAAAACATATCTTTGCTGTTTGTGCATGAAATCAAGCCGATCGAACTCAATTTTCCGAACTCTTGTTCTGATAATGTTTACGTACAAAGAATATCTATATCGCATACTCACTCACCCAATATAAAAACTATAGGCGACATTGTATTGAAATTCTTTGGCAAACCCTTTTACAGCCGTGGCCGAAGTTTGTAACACAACACTACGATGTTCTAATGGAAAATGCCTTGACGACTCCCTGTTGTGTAACGGTCGAGATGATTGCCCCATGAGCAATGACGAAGATCAGAACATCTGTGCACCCTACGATGAGCTGCAACAGTCAAGTAAGTTGATATGCATGTCGACAGTTTACATGTGACTTTCCCAAATACTTGGGTCACGACGAACACTGTGATGATCATGGATACGGCATACTGTGGTCCACAAGGACAAATCTAGCTCATTTCGTACTCTACGTTAACTGCATAAAGTAACATTAAAGTCGTGCAGGACAATTGCATAGACAAAGTGGTCTGCATGGCTAACGCAATCTGTTCTTGTAGGCTAGTGTAATAATGCAAAATGCACCTCTTCACCGTGCTCCCCTTGGGGATGATTGGTTAGCACAAATTGGCCAGAGTAGGCGTTTTCTGACCGTCTCCTCTATTTAGCAAATGCATCTTCCTATCTTGGTCAGTTTCGACTTTTTGCGGCCTCACCAGAAATCTAGTACTTTACAATTAAAATCTATCTCGTGAAATATCACGTCGAACTTTCCAACACTTAGTAACCCAGTTACAAAGTAACCCAGGCATTGAGTAAAAACTGTCTCTGTCACTGTATATGCGAATGTGCATAAATGTATATTAGGGAGCAAAAATAAACCACTTGAGGACATATCGTCACTCCTTTCTGAAGTACATGTACAAATGATACTGCGTCCTGCCGCAAGGAAGACTTCCCAATTCAAAGATCACTCACTGCATTGCGTCTGTCGGAGAGAAATACAGTTGAGCGGTTTATCTTGCAGCGATTTTCTCGTATAACACGAATATATGTATGATATGATTTCGTTCCTCCTCCCATAAAATGTCTATCAGTTGAATATTGTGGTATAAAGTAAGTCTGAAGCCTGCAGGGTCTACCCACTTCGATATAAAGATGTATCACAGTTTTTCGTCTCTCTGAAGAGGTTTTTCCGTATGTTTTACCACCAGGCGTTCGGTTTATGAACTGGGGTCAAGAACCATCCAAGAGACGTAAGTATAGCTTGACATCTTTAAGGGTTGATATTGCCATTTATTACCCATACCCCAAAGGAGGCAATCTTACTGCTGCAACATGGGAAGAATTTTAATTTCATATCTGTTTGTTCCGTCAGGTGAAAGAAGGCATTCCATCTGCCATGTTATTATTATTATCAAGTAAAAAATACCATGATGAAATTGCTTTCGTTATTAACAATATACTGTCAACAAAGCAGCAACCTTCAGATTTCTGATAAATATATATATTTCACATTTCACCAGAAATTGATGAAGACTACCAAAATTTTGTTGCCGCAACGTCCACAATTCTACCCTCAGGTCGTCACATTAAAAAACTGTGTTTTCGAAAATATTTTGAACACTTGGAACTATGAAGAGTGCTTTCCTCGAAGATTACTGATACTGCATTAATAGATCTCTTTAAATTCACTGTTTTCCTACGTCCGAGAGACTTGCGGTACCCAGCGGGATTACGCGAGAGAGGACGTTATACGCAGTTAACGTTCCTGACCCGGTTATGGTCCGTGATGGATGTGTAGGTCTATAAATGTAACGCTGGGGTCGTGCAGAGATTCGCTATCTTCGTGCCTAAAGTGACACGACTCGTGAACCTTTCCATGTGTTGTATGTTTGTGAATCGCGAATAGTGGAGTAACCTTTTGAAAGATTGCCATGATACTTGTGCATTGATTTCCTCATATTGCCCATAGATTGCCCGTAGAGTACGTTATGTTGCTGTAATATTTACCATATTATCCCAGAAGTAGGGAGTGTACCATACATGTGACGTCCTCATGGGATATATAGTATTGGTCGATTCATGTACATGTATAGAAAGGGCTGAATAAAAACAGCAGTTGTCATCCCAACTATCTTACGTTCTAGATTATTGGGCTCAGAAGTTTGAAGTAGGCTGGACGAAGGGAGAGATCACGTTCGCTTCTCGCCTGTTCCCACAGCCGTACCCAGAGAACTTCACGTCCTACTACGACTTGAGATGTTCCACAGAGGACTATCCAGACTGCAGGTTAGGCAGCATCATGTGTACATTTATATCTTCGTTCACTTTGCTACCAAATAGCAGCATGTCTTCTGGGATTGCTCCCTGTCAGGCTCATTTGAGATGAAATCAGAAAACAGGACATACACGTCAGCAGGAATGCTTTTGATATAATTTTCTGGGAACCTGACCTCTAAATCCTCTGCTATAAAACTTTGCTTTAACTGTTACACATAGAAGTGGTAAAGATCAACCTTGCTAACTGTCAATATTTCTAACAAAGTAGAATACCTTGTTGCTGCGAGGGAGGAAACTGCATAGATACCTCGGCAATGCAAATGATGTTCATTATGCTAATAATGTTCATCGTCATATACATACGCATTTACCTGAATACAATTCAACCGTTTCTCTTTTATTTCGTTACTCTCATACGTGGGCTAGGTGGTTCAACGATGTATTCATTTTACATCCATTTGTAACCAATTTTACATCCATTTTTTTACCCATTTTACATTTATTTACATATACTGGTGAAATATGATGTCTTTGTACGTGCAGAACTATTTGTTATGGTCAATATTGTTGTTTATGCAGTAAAGGAAAAATATACTGATATAACGTTACACACATCATACATCCAGAGAGAGGATGCCAAGGGTGCCAAGTTTTACTCGTAGATAAAGTTTCCTTTGGTATATTCAGTCATCCATAAACCACAAAGGCTAGACATATTATCATATGACATTAAACCCGTGCAATACTGAGATTCCCTACTTAGCGAAGACGCCTCATGTACCAGGCAGCAGCTTTGCTGACAGACTTTGCTGCTGTTTCCAAAATTAGTAATCATGAAGTAATAATTACAAGAATACTTAGCATGTGGCTGTTGAATTAGAGAACGCCAGAGCAATATAACATGTTGGCGGGGTTCCAATTCCCCGGGGGATTTCCACGCTGAGTCATGCCCTTTACGTCGTACCGTATTCATTAACATTGCCACCCGGAGGACGCGGGAACCACTGCTGTGATTAATACCCAGATTAAGCCATCGGAATTAAATGCTTTATCACCGGAAAAATGGGACGCAAGAGCTTGAAATGAAAAACGCGGGTAGTTGATCATCCGTTGGTATGCAAACGCGTTTTCCGTACGCATTGCGACCTTGGATGTAGTCATCAACCTGTCAGACGTAGTTTGTCGGGAAATTGATCTCTTCTCCATTTAGGGCGAATTGGTGGCGAAGTCGACGAAAACTCTCAATCGCTTTGACCTTGTGAGGTTGCTTTGATATGGCATCATTCCAGTTTTGCTGAAGCAGCAGTGACTTATCTGAACCTACTGAGATCGCTTGCAGCAAATTAGCTTGAGATGTGTGCAGATTAGTTAAAGAAGGCACAGTCTATTGAATCGTTGACAAACAGCTTTACTATCCAACCAATTAGATGCAAATACGTCGACATTAAACTTCTAATCCGTATGTTTACGCTAGGTCTCACCTAGGTACCTGAGCTTGTCTGTAGCAGGATTATACCATGAGTCGTAACAGAAAGTTTTGACAAATTGTCGACTGAACAGCAATGATTTTTGTCAAGTAATGAACCATCACTTTTATATCGCCACTTTCTGCTTGTGACGCAGTGAGCAGTGGATTAAAGGTTGCAAAACGTTTATGACGTCCCCCGTCGCTACAGGGGGGTTGTAAGCCCGTGATGTATATGACACCATTTACTCGTCTTGCAAAAATGTCCCGTTTTTTGTCCAAACAATCTCAGTTTATATCTATAGGTCTTATGACGTTTTTTTTCTAGAGTAAAGGTTACCTTCGACGTCTTCAATGTGGGCAGGGGACAGCCTCGGATGTGCAGAGGCAACAGCTGTTGCAAGACGAACTACTTAGAAGCACGTGACGGCAAAGATGAAAAGGCCCCTTTGATTGGTCGCTACTGTGGCTGCAGCATGCCGCGGAGGATAGCGGGATCGGGCCCGTTTCTCTGGATGAAGCTCAAGTCTGGGTTTGGGCAGAGAAGTAGAGGAATCCGAGCAACTTTGTCCATCATGGATCCCGAAGGTCAGTGTTAAAGTTTGTTTGCACCAACAACCATGCAGTCTCCGTCAGAATACAATTACGTAACCACCTCAAGGACACGTGACGTCAGTATTCGGGCAAAAGTGCCAGGAAGTTTATATCACCCGCCGTCGTTGACGGTTGAGGTGCCCTGATTCTTTCTTGAAAATATGGTTTATAATTGGTTATTCCAACGTGGCGACGCCGAGTCTGATTCACTGTGCAAGTGTTCGATGAAAGGTTATGCTTGGGATAACTTACAAGCAAATGTGTATTTGTGAAGCATTCGCCATGTTCGTACTCTGTGCATGTTTATAGATGGAGTAGAAATTCATTTTCATACACTTCATGTTTTTTAAGTCACCACAAACTATTGGAGGGTCACTTGATTAACTCCTCTTCACTTTTTCTTTCTTCCAGAGATCACCACAGCCGAGCCCACCACGCCGACACCCACCCCGCCAGAGACGACCTACACACCATCACCCGTGTACTACGACAACTGTGTGACTGAGCTTATTCGTAAGTTTTCGTTATAGTAGATTCCATTCTGCTTTCGCTCTATTCCTCCAGTCCTAAAAAAAGAAAGCTTCCTCAATATGTCGTTATCCACCTGGTATTCTCACTTCAAATAGGCCATTCAGGTCAAAAGATCTCAAGATATTAAAAAAGGCTTGAGCTAAGATTCATTGAAATTCAAATCCACCCGCCCCGTTTCTGTCCAAATTGTTACGTGAAAACCTGAACTGTGTAACGTTATGACGACACTCGTGTTCTCGTACTTCCAGCATACAATGCAGCCTACAGCCCAACAACGAGTTCAACTCTTCTAGCGACAGCCCTGGTGGGAGTGGCGACCATCCGGCACATGTGCACCTGACTTTTTCTTGACCAATAGAACCGTTCTTGAGTAGAAATAAATTTCAGAGGGAGGAAATGACATCTACATGTACCATAATGCACCAAGATAAAACTTTAATAAAAATGGCCTGAACTATTCAGTGCCACTTCACTTTAGAAAGAGTAAGGTGCTAAAACGTACTTATTCCACTAGTTGTTTCTGTCAGATAGTATAGTGTACGTCAGTCTCAGGACAATCAAATTACAGACGTTTCCTCTCCACCATTCTTTTTCCACACAGTCTTTCACTTTTTGTATACCTTTACATTCATACTAGTCGTCTTGCACATGAGTTCGTTTGGACCAGTTCGTTCGTAAGTGGCCAGGGTTGCAGAGACAATAATGCTGTATGTATGAACTAGAGAAGGCAGACAATCTAACAGACATATAATCTAACATAACATATTTTTCAAGACTATTAAGCGTGATAGTCCTCTATGTCATGTCCGGTCTCGGTCCGTATCTGTATTTTAACCGTTTCTATCGAATGACTTAGGGAGTCAATGGAAGGAAGTCTGAAGTGGACCAGGTCCCTAAATGGACATCCCTTCCCCCAGAAGCCTAATGATGCCCGAGGTGTATCTATTCCGAACGCCAACGAAGAGCAAAGTATGAATAATTCAGTCACGATTGCAAAATGATGGAGAGCATCAGAAGAAGGTCTCCAATACGGGTCGCCTGGTGCCTTTGAAGACGATATGTCATTTGCAGTTGATGGCCCGTGAGTAGGCTGGGCAGTCAGAGATAGCAGTCATTCCAGCGTAACATAAGGTCTCCAGAGCCTTTCTCAGCCGCGCATAGAGACGGAAATATCAATATATTAAAGGTCACAACAGGATGGAATGAAGGGTTTTACTAGCCGATGTTTTATGATGGTGATGTTTGGAGGTAACATAATTCCCTTGTAGAAGACCCATTCGTCTTTTAGGCAGAAGTGAGTGACCAGGAGACCTATGGCTCTCAAGGCTTCTAGTGCATCAACAAATCAAGTAAACAAACAAATAGCAAATACACACCACGACGCTGGATGAAATGAATGGTTCTCACCATTGCCCATGTTTGCAAAAAAAACCCATGGGTAACTTCAAAACGTATATACAGAGAAAGATATGTGGCCGATTGAAGCATGCTCCAGGATGAAACCATTTTTCATAATATCAACTTAACGTGTCACATGTTATTTTTTGATAACAATCGGGCGTTAGGTGTAGAGTGTTACTAGGTTTTTCATGCTGCAGAAAAACTACTAGTCAGATGTTCAATTTGATCTGCAGCAACCTGTAACTAGAACAGATTGCTTGAAGCTTGCTGGATGTGTTAGTTATAGAGAAGGCAATTTCCAACTCCGTATGTACTTACACACAGCCTCTGTAAACAGTGCTCAAAGACACCCATGCAGCAGTATGTACTCCCCAAGCAGACGTAAGGATCCGTCCCAATCTTGACACATAATGCTTCACGTGGACTTAACAGTGTAATAAACGTTTAAGCATCTAATTGCCCAGCCTCTGTAAGTATGTCCATGTCCATATACATGTACATTGTCGGCTTGCCTAGCTAGGATTAGATGTCGGGATTTAGATTAACGTACTGTGTGTTTCTGTGGTCTTTTACGACGAAATATCTTAATAAAGGATTCTGAATCTCAAGACAGTATGTGTAAGTCATTGATTGCCTGGTAGAGCTATGATATTCGTAGGATTTAACTGTAGTCAGTTTAAACAACTAGCGGTTCAGAGTACTAACAGGTCCGGAAAACGTAGATTATGCAAATCAACGTGATTTGGAAAAATTAAGATGTTGAACATCCCATTTACTTACTGTATGGTGAGGCACGAAATTTACATCTTTACATCATTAAAACTGTTCTGTATATCATACTTGAGCTCTAGAATACAATAATTCTGTAGTAACTCTCGTGAGTTTGTCAAACTGGATTTCAGGGCATCATATTTACTAGTACCTTATATTCCCCCTAAATGGAGGCATTTGTGGCATCCATTTTATGCAATTACGCATTCCCTTACGTTGTCCTATATGTCACGTTAACAACGTTACATGATAGAATCGGCCTCTCGCATTTCCTGACGGGGCATTAGGCATCCCTTCCGCTCTTATGTTTCATCATGCGAAAAATCCCCATAAAAACAAAGCCACAGCGACAACTATGACAAGGTTAATGTTCAGCACCAGTCTCCAGGTCCGGGGTTCCTTGATTGACGTCATCATGACTTTTTCGTCAGCTGTGGGCCCAGCAGACTGCTCACTGGAGAATCCACAAAACCACTGCGCACCTCGCTTGAAGATGGACTGTTTATTGCCAGCGTCTGTTAACCAAATATCCACACCTTAGAATGGTGAATCTGAAAACTCGGCCAGGAATTATGAAAATAAATTATAGCTTGCATTTTCGAAACACTGTTGATTATTTTGCTCACTAGCATGTTTGATTTCATTGTGTAATCTATAGCATAAGGTTTGATGTACATAGGTATAAGTGTGATTAGAATTGGAAAAAGGCATTATAATTGTCTTCGTCTCAATCAAACAGTCATATTTGCAAAGAAACAAGTAGTGCTGTACACAACCAGCTACAGTGTCCAGTATACAACAAGGAACCAATTGATATAGTAGCTCCATAGTTAAGAGTTTATCTGTCGTTTTGCATGTGCATTATTGTCACCTTATAGTTACTTTTATTGAATTTGTTCTTTATATAAGTATTTGATAGGAGAAGGCCTTCATAAGCAATGTCGTTTCTGAAAGATCGTCTGAAAATACATGTGAATGAAATTAAGATAAAATTTGACATGTCTTGATGTGAGCCATCAACAAGGTAAACATTAGCTATCCTCAGAACTCACCAATGGCGGCATCTTCCTCTGTCTGTAGGGCATGGTTTGTGTTTGTTTTTTCCTCTTGGTTTTCGGTTGGCTGAATGTCCTTCTCTGCCTTGTCCCCATCTAGTTCTACATCCTCCGATGACGGTTCTTTTTTCTCCTCACCATCATCAAATCGTGTCCACCAAGTCAGGCGAACAAGCTGTGCCAGGACAACAGATAATGAACAGATGAGGGGAACTGATAGACAAAACTGTAACAGTGTAACCTATTATGTGTGACACAAATATGTAGATTGTTCCAGAAGGTATTCAGAGATATTGATAACTTTCGAATTCACAGACAGACTCCAGTTACCATCTGTATCTGTATCTGTACAGCTGGAGTAATCGCCTTCCGGCGTATCACCAGCTTCGGACTCATGCTGGTTGATTTTACACTATCACATTACACTGAACGACCTGCCACACCTAACCATTGCACATCTAACTATGAGCGTTGTTGAAAAGTAGTTAGTGAGGGTTAACGTACTTTGATTGGTGACAAACAGTTTTGAACACCTCAATCCTTGGTTGATAATTTGTAGTCATGGCTGTTTTGTTCTTCTCTCGAGTTATTGTGATTATGGACGCGGTGGAGCCGAGGCGGAGGATGCCATAAACATTCTGCTACGTTTATGACCCACTGCTCACAGAGACATGTGTTCTATCTGCATACCTTTACGTCATAGAAGCGTTAGATTTCTCATTCCTCGACTGGTACTGTTCAATCGATATTTTCTCATTGTGTTGCAAATCATAGTTTAATCATCCTTCAGAAGGACATCAATTATCACAAGTTTATGTAGAGACCTACCCGTTCCTTTGGGGGCGGTGGGGTCAGAAGAGTGACGATGATTTGAACTATCAAAGTAAACCCTGCGAGGAAGATTGCAAAGTATAGGTAGTGGAAATTCCCGACGATGTCTGGACGAGTGTCCGGTTCCCCACAAGCTGGTTCGGGGTAGATGAAGTCCAGTGTCATCCGGAGTAAACCAGTTCCTAGCCCTAACATGAGGGCCCAAAATGCCCCCTGGAAAATGGACAATAAAGAGTTATGATAAACTATAGCACTGTCTGTGTACTCTATAAATTGTCTTATGTTGCAATTAGCCCTCTGGCATTGAATCGCCTCTGGCATTGAATCGCATCTGAATTGCCATAAATAAAACTAAGTTACATAAAATTTCCTAACACAGGGTTGTGGATGTTTGCAACTAAAAATCCCTGAACTTTAACAATTGAATACTTCAACAATTGCCGATAAAGCTAATAAACGCTGTCTGCTCTTGATATGATATTCCCTGAATTAAACTGCAAGCTAGCTGCTAGCCTGTTCCTGCTTCATTGAAATGAAACTTAGTGATTAAGAAGAAGAAACACAAGATTCATCACTTGTAAGAGTAGCTCTAGTCGGAGTAACATCTACACCTAGTGTTGTAGGAACTGTTGAGATGTTAGATGCACCACACCTGCTCATTGGCTCTCTTCCAAAAGATCCCCATGACGAAGACGACCGTGACAGGTGGTTGTAGGTAGGAGCTGATGACCTGAATGTAGACAAACAGCTGGGCACCCTGGGAAGACTGGATGATGGGTACCCACAACACGCTGATGGCGACCAAGATGCAAACGAAAACTCTAGTGGAAAAAGAATGCCTTATACATGAGTAAGTGGCAATTTCAATGGGTACATTCGAGGTTACACGTTTCTATAATGTCTGTGTGAGCCAGAAATTACAATCAGACACATTCAGCGATGTAGTCGTGACGTTGTCAAGCGTGAGATGATACAATATTTGATAGTTTCTTGTTCATCATATTTTCCACGAGCCAGTGCAGTTTTATACCTTCCAACGATCATGAGCTCCCTCTCGGAGGCTTTCCTCCGCACTTTCCTCCAGACGTCCATTGTGAAGATGGTGCTGCCGCTGTTGAAGATTGACGTCAGAGAACTCATCAGCGCAGCGATCATGGCGGCCATCATCAAGCCTCTCAGACCTACACAAACGGCACAAAACACCCTACGAATACCATGTAAACAAAAAGTTCCATAACGTCACAGGCGGTAGGGTGTTGATTCATTTTGTGCTGGGGATAATATTGAACGTCGGGCCTCTCCTCATGCTAAGGTCACATTTCCAAGCCAAGTTTCTGGTAATGAAAAGTATGATATAAAAGACATCAAAACAAAAAATATTGCAAAAATTTATGACTGCCTGTGCATATTCTTGATATGAATTGTTTATTTTTCGTTCGCGTAAACAGCCCGGCCGGGTCCCGGCTTGGAAATGTGACCTCAGCATTGCGCGCACCGTTCTACTTCCCCAATAGAGATCAGGTACCCATTTACACCTGAGATGATAACAGTCGTTAGGTGCGTCTCACAGAGACACAGTTTCTGCCCATGGCCAGGAGTGTCAGCAATCAAACCAATTATCTCTCGATCCCGTGTCCTTCGACACCACGTCAAATATATCAAGAATAACTCAATAGTGGACTATATATCTTGATAGGCGGTGGCAGGTATCGACTTCCGTTGCACCTTTGACCCGCTCCCCATGTCACACGACTGCACGATCAATGTGCCTCAGGAAACTGGGTCAAATCTATGATGAAAAGATAGTTTGCGTTGCATACAGGAAAGAAAGACATAGGCTTGGTGATAAAAAATTATGTTGCAGTCCACTCGGAGTACATGACATAGAGTGCAGAGTCAGCTCACCTGTAGGCATCAGCTCCAGCACGAGTTTTGGGTAGGCAATGTCTGTACAGCTCACGGGGTTGTTACAGACTCGCCTGCAGGCTTCCGGGGTCTGGCAGGCAACCTCATCTAAACAAGTACGGTATAATATCACACGTTATAAAACACGAGTCATAATGTTTATACCTTGCACTTCGCTAAGCTAGTTTTTTACGTTGCATGGAGAAACTCACAGGTTCGATTCAGGTGATATCACACCTGTTTTTTAAATCGTTCTCTTTCAGTCTCGAACGTAATTGGCCCTTGGAGTTCCAAAAAAGCTGAAGGGGGCTCTTCTTTACGAGCGCAAGAGCTATTTATCAATTAGCTCATTAATCTTAATAAGATAAAAAAAAAATAAAAAGAAATAAAGATCACGACCATTGCATTTGCAGAGCACAAGATTCAAAACAAAAATGCTGCTGCAGTACCATTGACTGCCACCAGGAGCGACTTTAATCAAACGTGACCTTCAAGTACCACAACTTCTCGGGACATGCTGTCCACAAACATACACAAGCCCACCAATAAACGGCACCGAAAGCATGGTTAAAGGAAAAATGGCTACGGTCCATTGCAATGCTAATCAACGACGCCACAATGGCAATCATCTTCTATCCGTTTCATTGATATGACCTGATAAGGAAATTGAGTGGAAATGCTCTCTACTTACTAGGATATAAAGACCTGCTGATCATCCCAGGGAAGATCATTAGGAACATTGGCAGTATCTTCATGTAGGAGCACATGATGGCGCCAGCCTTGGCGTGACACATGTTCTTCGCCGCCAGACATCGTTGAATTATAACCTTTTGATATGAAGCAGCAACAAAGGAAATGTCATAGGGACCCTAAAAAGTCAATTACAACAAATGTCTTATTGGGTAAAGTTCCGTGACGTGAAAGAATGGTCGGACCATTACTTGTCTATAACATGCTAATAGCATCGCATAGCGTCTATACTTAGCAATGCAGACAACCAGAAAGGCATGTTGCATTATTTCTTCGGTTACGCAGCTGCAGGTAGCAGTGTATGTTCTGCAGAATATATTGCAGTTTCTGTATACTTTGCCAGAGGGAGCAGTCGATTTCTGTATGCTCTTCCGTGTTTGATATTTCTAGCTACCTTAGTTATGAAAAACACAGCCGCACCTGATCAGCACACCAGTACCAGATGGAGTTGATCGTCATGCCCAAGACCGTTCCCGGCCAGGGGAAGTCCGATTTGACGGGGTCGCGGAGTAAGTGGAAGGAGTCTGAGCGTGGAATGCCGCAGGTGTAGTTGGGGTAGTGTTGTAACGTGTAGTCAGGAATGGACGTCATGTACTTATCCACAAAGGAAGTGAAGCCGCCGATTTCGATAAAAGCTGGGGAAAGTTTGCAAGTTAAATTTCCCAACTCCAGGACTTATCTTATGGTTCTTGTTTGCACTTTACAGTGCAGAATTGTTTCAGTCGAAATGATTATGGCACCTATCGTGGATGATATGTAACATGCATGTGTCTAATTCAATAGTACATTGACCCATGAATGGGTAACACTGCTGTTACCTTTAATGTACTATGTTGCGACCATAGCGACTAATGGTGGCTCTGAAGGACCATCGAGTGGTCATATTTGGTCAATGAACGGTCTCCTCTATGTGAAAAGAGCATTATTACGAAACGACGAGATATACGTTCTTACCCAATATCATAAGTATGAAGCATCCTATGAAGAGAATAACCGTCTGGGCCGTGTCTGTGTAGATAACAGCTGCAAGACCACCTATTGAGGATACAACGATGTCCACAGTGAGTAATGTCGCCTTGATAGTTTTACCAACATGGATATTTTATTGTACTACCGTTTCAGGGCGCAGTTCTAAGCACTTCATAAACCTTCACGGACTCCATTGCATGGGAGACGCAGGGCAGTATGGGTAGCTCAGTCGACAGGAAAACCATTACCATGACATAATAGAATGGACCAGACGTAGTACGCATGCACCACGTAGGCGTTGTACAAAACATGCTATGAAATGACACATATAAATAACGTTAGTACCTGTTACAGTGTACACCGCAGCAAGAGCTAGAAGGAGCACAATAGCCAGATAGATGTTCCAACCGAGGGACTGCTGAATGTAAATTGCTCCAGCATACATGTCCACCTTTGAAAGATATACCGTTATAGGAATAAAACTTTCAACATCCACACGATACTGCTGTCGTCTGTCACATACTGTAACTAAATTGATTTATCTTAAACATGTATGTGAATGTGTTGAAGGGATTGTGTTGAAAACAACGGCGCTGAAATTAGAGATGCAAACATTTTCTTAACATTTCTAAAAGTCATAAAACCTTGAAATGCAGAAAGGGACACCGACATGGCGGGCACAGCACTGGCGTCACGTGACAATACTCTACTGAGGTCACCCCATGTATTGCAAAGTGTATGATATTACAAGTAACCGTTAACGTGTACCGAAATCTTGGTGAAGATGTAGATGAAGAGAACGAGAATGGCGAGGAAAATCTGTAGCCTGTTGCCTCCATAGCGTTTCTTCAGATACTCAGGCATAGTATAGACCTACAGAAGAGGTACAGGAACGAAAAGAGTAGGCGTGACTCGTTGGGAATGTAACACGCCATATAGCTAGCTATCGAAACAATATTGCACTTCAACTCAGACTGAGAATATGGAAAGACTTTTCACACGAACGGAAGCTGTTTAAGATAGATTATGCTAGCCCTACATCATCAAAAATTTAAAAAAAAGAGTAACCATTCGGACGGCATCATGATATACTCACCCCGCCCGCTATGTACACCGGTAGGAACAGCCATGCCATCATGAGGACGACAATCATTCCCTACAAAACAAGATGCGAAAAAATTATAGACAAACAAAAAAGGAGAGTTTGTAAATACAGAGAAATACATACTCGTACAAGCTAGTGTGTTCATTTTAATCTTGTATTTTAATCTATATCTTTTTAATGTCTAATACTGGAAACATAAGAACAGATAGGTGTTGTAGTTTATTGCTATTCAGCATTTATTAGCTGATTCTAAAGTGAAAGATAACTCACGTTCCACTCGTATCCTCCCACCGCTATCCCCCCGGCAGCCCCCGATCCGGCCAGACCAACAAAATGGCCGCTGCCAACGTTACTGGAGAACAGGGACGCGCCAACCTGTCAGACAACGGACAAAACACGATTCGTGAGTTGTGACACATTTGCATTTCATGGCTTCACAAGTAAACTTACAGATTCTTTTAGGAGAACATTGAGTAAACGATGGCACGAACTGGTAACCTTTAAGCATTCTCTTTGGCAACCTTCTTTTAGGGAAGACCAGGGAATAGGTCGAAGGTTTTCTGAGTTACAAAGTCTTGTTTTGACGTAAAGGTAGTTAATCCTGTCTCCATTATGTGATGCACCTATACCGATTAAGCTAACAGGTGTAACATGATCAGTACTAGTACTAGAGCGTCTATTTTGACAAAGTCTATACGCAAGAAAACTACGGATACTAACATACAGAGGAAATGTATCTTGATCGTTAAAAATTCTACTTACCGCCCACCACACCATGTCTCTACCGGCCAAGAAGTACCCGTCCACATTTCCACGGTTGGTTCGGTACATAGACTGAAACACATATGGCATCACTTCGGTCATCATAACAAGAGGTTTGCGGTGGCTTCATGTATAAGCTATTGAAACATACTTTATCCCTAATGCTGAATGTAGTATCAAACCAAAGAGACGATAACGATTCTCTTCTGTGGATGTGCAAAAATTCCTGTACAATTCTTAATGAAAATGCTTAGAGACTGCTTGAGGGTTGCCCCCGATGAGGTGTCGCCAAAGACACACACACTTACGATACTCTAAAATAGGTCATCATGACCTGATCTTCTTTAGCGACATGTGTTGTTAATCGTTTACCAAGGCACACATGTCCAAGATATAATTTGGGTCATGCTCTCGCAACTTTCTCTCAAGCAATTACACATTACACGTTTCTGTTCTCTACCAGACTTCTTGGGATGCTGAAAAAAGGAGTGAAGATTACCAAACTACGGAGAAGAATTAGCCAGAGGAATCAGTGGGCCATAGAAATACATGTTGAAAATGTCGACGACCCCTACTTCTCTAGTAAACCATTATCCTTGTTTTCGTTCATTTTGCAATACTTGTCATCAACACTGGGAGTCTGGTGCTAAAGAGTACACTTTTCTCGTCCTATCTGAGGTCACACGCTGAAGTCAAACAAACATGGACTTATTTAGAATCCCCGCACGCAGCCTGACCTAAGAGTGACCTATGTACACAAAATTCGTAACGCGAGGCAAAATGGAGGACAAAGGTACGTATTTTGAAAGTGCCCGTAAAATTAGCTAGCGGCGTATACTATTACTTATTACTAACCCTGATCATGATGCATGGTCCATTCATACTCAGTCGCAGCAATAAATCATGCACATTTCTGATGGCAAAGCTTTCCGCAACAATCTCAAGTCATTTTGTGTTTTCATACGATGAGGATAGTAGATATTATACATGATCTCACTGTGTAAGAGAGTAACTACAGTGGTTATCAGATCAGGAAAGCTTATGATACACACGCCAATAAAGCCACCCTTCACACCCACGTAAACGGCCGTAGAAATAACAACGTGCAAGCAGTGACTGGTTTTGTCGCTGTACAGTTTCAATGAAGCTGGTCCCAAACAAAAACGTGCCAATGTCTTACCCAGAGTCCAACCCCTAAGATAAACAAGAAGTATACGACCAAGACGGCAATGTCCGGGGGGTCTAGAGAAGCAGAAGAGCCTGAAAGGACAGTTGAGTTTGCCGCCATGGTGGAGGTTTGCATGGAAGGACTGGTCACGTCCATCTTTCTTCCTTCAGTCTTGCCGTTGAGCCGGTAGAAAGTGGGCGTATCACAAGACCACGCTTGTATTGGTCACTTGGGTAAACCCAGTCTGGCGGGCATATTGAAAATATTTGTCTTAATAGTTAATGAGTAATTGCAGACCTTGATACGATGTCAACCAGCTCTTTATGTGCTACATGCTACAATAGTTATGTATAACAGTCGAGTTAGATGTTTGTCCGAGAAGTCAATATTTGAATGCGTCTCTTATCAGATCCTGCATAATTTGCATAATGAGTCAAATTAATTGTGCACCCAAGAATTTATACATCTATACATTCGCGGTTCTGTTATGTATTGATTAAGGTCACCTTACGCAGGATGGGGACCGTTGCAACAAAAATTCAAAGGTCAATTAAATTGTGTATCATCTATGACTTTGAAATTGGACTACGATCCATGATGCATGGGTATGATGTGAAAGACAACCAAAGCCACTTTTATATATAAATGGGTTTTACCTATAATTTTTCTTCAAGAATATTCATGTTGCATGTTATGTTATATTGTTAATGTTTAATCTTGTGTATGTTTAATCTTTACTCTTAATTCAAGTAGTATGTTATATTGTGTATGTTTAATCTTTGTATTGTTTGGCACCCGAAATCAGCCATGCTGCCTGGGTGGCCAGTGTATTGTCATGTTACAATTGAATTGAAATAAAATAAGATTCATGTTGCATGTGGTCAATCTGGTTGTAAAACATAAGGTGGAAGGCAGAATCGTTACGTTTTCCTGGGTTTCTGTTTCTGTTACAAACTGCCTTCCTCGCACACCAGAAACGGGTCTGCGTGCTTTAATATATAGAAAACGCAACGATGCTTGGAAATTAATACTTCGCACATCCGCTTGGTGTCGCTGCAGTGGGAAGAACGAGGCCCAAACGTGACTTAGCTGGTTAATGAACATTTAATATTCTCTGTATAATCTTACATTAAACAAAAGTATCACAGCGTTATGACTTGTGATGGAATTATTAAGATTCTATTTAACATAATTCTATGCAAAATTTGGATGATATTCCTGTTTGGTCAACACAGTAGACAAACATTGTAGAGAGTGTGTTGTGATTGGCAATCAAATAGTCGTAAGGCAGTGACCAATCTGGAGCCTGCATTTGATTTATGAGGCTGTTATATCATTGACCAGGCAACAAGTAACTGTTTGACTATTGGAACAACCAACCCAAGATTTGTACCAATACAACGATATTTACTGGATATAGGAGCTAACCTCAGATGCCACCTTACACACCTTCAGGTGGAATATCAAGTTTCTGTTAATCATTCATCAACCAACAGGATGTCAGAAGTGCTTATATTACAGTGTGCTTGCAACACTTCAACATGGCTTACAGCACTTAACAAATCATTGCCACATGCATACTTTGCTTGAACCTACTACCTTATTAGTGTATACACAACAATTTTCTTATGTACTTCAGAACATTCTACAGTAATATTGTACATTGTAACATTACATAGAAAACAATATTGTCCTACCATAGCAACAAACAATATGGATACAAGTGCTCATTAAAGATTTCCCCTGATGCAATTTACAGATTGTAGGAAGTTCATGTGTAACATTATTCATATCTTTATTAATTATATTTTCATTTCTGAACTCCTAACGGTTTCACTTTTTGGCTCCCAAAGTTCTTTGTTTTGAGTTGATGACTGAATTCTAGTGGCTCTACTATCACACCTTACTACGCACTAGCAGCTGGAAAGGAGAAACTGTGAGATGTTCAGAAATGAAAAATGCATGCAGTTCTATGTGACCCATTGAAATATGTATTGAATAAAGTGGGTTAGGGGAAGTCTTTACTGAACAGCTCTTGTATCATCAACATAAAGCACCTTCTGTAATATTACAATGATTTCTTTAATACACAAGAAACCATAAGAGAAGTCTACTATTTATATTAAATACACTAATACTGACCATTTATATCTGAAAAGTACACGTACACCTTGTAAATGTACACTTTTTCTAAGACATTTTATTGCTCTCAAAAGTTATAACCCATCTTTGAAACTCAAAGTAGGAAGAACAAAATGATCAATTGATGTTGTCAAATTTAGAAGTTGTCTATTTTGGTTTTAAGAGATCGGTTCGGAAAATGACAAACCCATCCAGTCGTTTTTTAATGCTCCCTTCTTACAAAATGGCATAGAAGTTGGTTGAGCATGGCTATAATTATATGTTAGTAAATGAAATGAAGACCATTTCTCCATTCAGCAATTGTGCCAGTGGCCCATTGTCTAAGAGTATGGCTCGGTTCCGAGATGTTGGTAGTGGTAGGGTATGGTTGGTGTGGGACTGAAGAGGTGCCAGCGCCGATACGACATCCGAACAGTCGCCCAAAATGTCAGCAAGGAGACAATTGCCAGAATCTAAGGTATAAAAATAGTACAAGTAAGGCAATTATAAAAACATGGCAGTGTATATAAAAATATGTTCTATAGTATTTCTTTATAGTTTGTTCTTCTCTTTCTTCTTCTATAGCCATACATGCAGGTTCTCAGATTCAACTCTGTCATGTTTGGGCCAAAAAAAGTTTTACTTTTAGCAATTTTATCTAGAACAGGTTATCACATGTAAATCTGTGAAAGTATTTTTGCACCTCTATTTCTTTAGCCCGTTACTTTGTCCAAACCTATCATAGCTGCAAGGTCTCTTCTCTTCTCTCCTCTCCTGTTTAACATAGAATATTGTTATACCAGGGGGTACATGCTTTTTATCATATTATTTTGTTGTCCATGTTGTCTTGCTGGGGCTATGAAAATGGTCTATCCTTCTGTCTATGATTCTAGATCATGTCTTACCGTGTCGACAATGGCCCCGGCTTCTCTACCTGGCCAACGCCAGCTGATTGAAATAAGCGCCAAGATGAAGTTTATTGACCATAGCACAGTGCACAGAGCTGAGTGGCAAAAGTCCTGAAACACAGAGTAGTATGCCAAACATTGCTGAAGAATATTGTTGGTTTTCCTATTTCAAGGAATCATAGCTTGTCTTTCCTGAAATGTGAAAGTCTTGTTACCCTCTGGCTGTGTAGACTCTTGTATTATAACACCCTGTTCTTTGGAAGTGGAGCATTCCTCTTCAGGTTTTTGCCACTCAACTCAGTGCTGTCCTGTGGTGGGCTGTACCACTGCATTGCTTTGTCAGAAATCTTACCGTGACAACAATGGCCCAGACCAACATGCCTGGTCCGTACCAGCTTAGTACGTGAAGTGCCATTATCAAGTTTATAGACCACAGCACAGTACATAGAGCTGAGTGGCAGAAATCCTGAAAATACAGCAAACAGGTCTGTCTAATTGAACAAAAATGACCCAAACAATCTCTCCAGGGCTTTGATTTCTCTTTATTTCTAGGGTAGAAATATTACATGCTGGGAAACATATTGCACTGTGGGTAGCTCAGAAAGCAGATCATTACCATGGCAATATAGACTAATCACAGTCTGTACGCTCTGTATAATTATTTCATACATAATTACATAAGCATGGTTGTCATGGTAATGATGTTGTTAACCCCTTGAGCTACCCATAGAGCCCGCATCTCCTAGCATGCAATGGGATCTGTGAAAAGGACAATGTAACCCCTATCCTATGAAATGGAATATCCCTCTTCAGGTTTTTGCCACTCATCTCTGTGCTGTCCTGTGGTGGGCTGTACCACTGCACTGCTTTGTCAGTGTTTCCAGCAATCTTACCGTGAGAATAATGGGCAACAAGACCAGCATGGGTGGCCCATACCAGCGTAACAAGTGAAGTGCCATCATCAAGTTTATTGACCACAGCACAGTACACAGAGCTGAGTGGCAGAAATCCTGCAAAACAGCAAATTGGTCTGTCCAAAAACTCCAATAGAACAAGAATGGTAACGTTACAGGGCTTTAATTCCTCTCTATAGGTCTTGGGTAGAAATTTTGCATGCCGGGAGAAATGGCGCACTGTGGGTAGCTCAGAAGGCAAAGAAGATTATTACCATGACAATATAGACTAAGCACAGTCTACATGCTCTGCATGATTATTGCATACACATTGTCATGGTCTGGTTTACCCCTGGAGCTACCCATAGAGCCCACATCTCCTAGCATGCAAAGGGATCTGTGAAAAGGACAATGTAACCCAATCAAATGGAATATCAGTCTTCAGGTTTTTGCCACTCATCTCTGTGCTGTCCTGTGGTGGACTGTACCGTTACACCCGCAATAGGACCACCTTCTCTGGGTGGGAAATACCGCCAGCTGAAGCCCAGCTGAAGTCCCAGGATCAAGTTTATTGCCCACATCACTGTACACAGAGCTGAGTGGCAAAAATCCTGAAACACATGAATCTTCTATCAGGAGACATTATATATAAGGCTGTGTATGTGTGCATCTGTGTGTGTGCGTTTGTGCGTGTGTGTGTTGGTATTGTATAGGGGTTGGCAAAACAAAGAAATACTCAGACTGTGGGCACCTAAATATTATTAGGTCAAGATTCTTGGGTGGCTGATAGCTCTTGGTCTTGAATGATTTCTCTGAACTCATTTAATGATTGAGACTAATGTGTATAAAAGGAAACCAGTACCCACCACAAGAGGCCAGTTGACCCTGGCTGCAGCCTCACTCTTGTGCCAGGAGGCCAGGAAGATGGTGAACACGGCCAAGGTCAGGATGAAGATAGTCAGAGAGATCCACTCATAGGCTTTCATCTGCTCCCAGTTGTACGGTGATGCTGTAACTTCTGCTATGATGAAGCCTACAAGGCTTAGTAACTGTATACAGGAGTAAAAAGTATACGGCTAATGAGCAAACTTCCATAGCCTTTTTGAGGCTATGGGCAGTGGATTGTTAATCCACTGTATCTGAGCCAATTAAATTAGTATTGAAAGGCAGTCAGTCCATACTTTTCTGGCACCTTTCAACTCTCCAACCAAAGTGAGATGCCCTGCTGACTTTCATGTACACCTGGGTGGAGTGAGGAAAGCTGTGTAACTGTAATTGAACTGCCTCTCCCATAGGACACAACATCTAGAATTCATGACTCTACATTATGATATCTAGACACTGGTGAAAGTTTTGTTGTGTCAATAATTCTCTCTCCAGGTACACAAGTGTGACATACTGAGATTGTTTAGCAGGTATGCAATAAAATGTTATAAAAAACCTCACCATTTGTACTAGTTTGAGCACTCCTAACCCAGACTTGAGGAAGTTGAGGTCTACAGCAGGAGGCCCCCATCCATTCTGCTCCATCATTCTGTGTTGTTGGATGGGTATCCTATATCGGGTACTAACAACGACGTTGTACTAGAAAGGAGACAAAAATTTATACAGAACCATCTTACAACTTTCCTAAACTTTCGTTGAGCTTATTTTACTTAACGCTAAAAAACGTTAACCGTTACGTCAAAGTTGAACATGAACAAGGAAAGAGTAAACCAAATACGGTAAATTTTTAACCTCCTTGAGTAACATAAAACAGAACCTTTGATGATTATTTTGTAAGTATAACGTTAGCCGAATTGAAGAAATTGTTCTAGTGCCAAACTAAAGTTAAACACTGTACGAGTGCAGTCGTGCTCGTGTTGAGGAGGGGATGTTAACTGTTAATATGAACGTTTATGTTAGCCGTGGCGACTCTTGATTCGGGCTTACATTGCATTACCCTCGTGGCGACTCTTGATTCGGGCTTACATTGCATTACCCTCAGGGGGGGGGGTACATTAATGTTAACGTTAGACGTTATCAATTTAGATCACATCATGAGCATATCAATAACGTTTCAGATACCTATTTCTTTCCGGGACGCCTTGTGGTTGACACTGTCACTCCATCAGGATCACTTAAATACGTTACTTATACTTGAAATCCACAAACTCCACGCATACACAGACACACAGTCACCCGGAAATATAAGCATGACCTCTGAACTCCCTGAGATTTACTGCTCGAAAGTCAATGGTGGAGCTGCAAATCTTGAGAAAAGTGATAGGCGGCGCTTTTGTTTCATGGAAGACTAACTTCACACTGACTTCGACTTGATTTCCCTGAATTTGCCTCAATTGCAGGGGCCCACAGCCTCTGCTGTTAGAATCAAGTAGGGAGATAGCACTTGTTATTTCCTACAAGCATCTCTTTTATCTCTCTTATGAGTTCAACTTCAATCTACATAGACAGACAGACAGACAGACAGACAGACAGACAGACAGACAGACAGACAGACAGACAGACAGACAGACAGACAGACAGACAGACAGACAGACAGACAGACAGACAGACAGATAGGGAACCTCCGCCAGCCTCCGTCCAGGTCCCGTCCGTAAGTGCCCAAAACAGCCCGCCAAGGCGCCGCGCGGCCCTGGTTTTGAATGGTGACCTAGGGTTTTGAACTTTGTGCTAGTGCCATGATATGGGGGCTGTCCCTGGTACTGACGTCACAATCATATCACCTGCATTATCGATATACCTGTTAGTTGTCCCTTTTTAGCTATCCCTTGTCCTTATGGTACATCATGGTGCTGATGTTGCCATAGACATGTTAACGAGAGAAGTGACAACCGTGTAACTTACATGGGAGCTGTCCCTGATACTGATCTTAGCTGTCGTTGTCCTGACGGTGCTACATACAGCTTGGTGAGTTGTCATATTGCCACAGACATGTTAACGAGAGAAGTGACAACCAGTGTGAACAGAAACAACAGTGATCACTCATAGTTAATTTGAGCTAAGTGATGCGTCTTTCGTAGCTCCAATTCATATTTAGAATTTACATATTCCACCTATGCACGCTCGTGGCAAGGCATGTAAGTTGTATTAGAGGAGGCGTTATCTGTAAGATTGTGTCACCATCTGTCAATTGAAAATTCGGCTGATTCACATGTAATTGTTCATTTTCAAACGTATCCAATAACTTGTTTCTTTTAGTAAACAGCATGAATTCAGAGACAGTGTGTGATCACAGCAATTACAACAGTCAGCAAGGTAGAATTGTCATATAATTTT